CGTAGTTTGGATCAGTGGTTCTTAACCTTTTTTGAGGTACCGAACCAACCAGTTTCATATGCGCATTCATTGAACCCTTCTATAGTGATAAACAAAATATAATTTTTTCCCCCCCAAATTCTAGACATAGGGGTGCCCCAACTACAGTCTAGTTGGGTCACCCCAAGATCACTAAGTCTTCTTAAAAGGTAGAGTCTCTGAGAACACTTCTTCAAAATATAGTCAGTGTTTTCAGCAAAGTTGAGCTGACTGTCCAGGAACGACCCAAGGTATTTAAAATCTGCCACAGTTTCAGCAGGTTGGCCATTGAGAGAAACTTGAACCACTTTAAGGTCTTGTTTAGATCATTTAATTATCTCTACATTCTTAAGAGAATGAAAAATTAATAATGAATAATAAAGGCTGCGGTATTCTGATTTAGTAATGTAATTATATTAGTTGTGTTACCACCCCCACGCCACTAGAGGCAGTAGGAACCCCGAAAAGATGCGACTAAGGAGCATATTTAGAAGTACACCGAAAGCTACAGAATTTGGTAAAAACTGTGAACTTTGCTGAAGTGATTAAAGACACAAGTTTAAATCCATGCTGAGAGTGTAGCTCCTTCAATGAGTGCTCCTCTGCAGCTCTGATTGGCTAAGCAATGTAACGTGATCCTCTGCAGCAGGGGTGTCCAAAGTCGGTCCTGGAGGCTCGGCATCCTGCATGTTTAGTTCTCTCCCTGGTTTAACGCACCTGGATCAAATGATGGCTCATTAGAAACCCTAAGAGGTACATTGACATGCTGAAAAGGTTGTTACTACCACCAGGGAGAGAACTAAAACCCCCGACTTTGGACACCCCTGCTCTGCAGCAGGTGATGGCGAAGCGGGGCGTCATCACGACTTTACACAAGTGTGACTTTACCTCCGTGGCAGAGGCTCCGCCGAACCCCTGAGACCGACTTACCGAACCCAGGTTAAGAACCACTGGTTTGGATGAAGCACCCACTGAAGTTGGCTTACGATTGAAGCTTTGGGACGCCTCCATGGCTACCAGCTGTGATCCAACTATAGGGTGCAGACTTTTTCTGTACATCATAAGGGAACTGCAATATCCAGAGGCAGCTCTGTGGAGCATCGAAGAATGAGTTGTTTTTGTTGAGCTGAGAGAATGAGGGTGGCAAGCCTTGGAGATCTGCATCGGAGGCCATCTTTCTATTACCTGACATCCACCGCTGCTGTCCGACCAGAGAGGCCGTTCAAGTGAGCAGTGT